ACATCTTTGAAAGGGAGGGGGAAGTGTTCTTCTTCTGGCTGGGGCCATGACTTTTATTTAACAAATTTTAATTATTACATTTGATCTAACCTAAAATCTACTCAATAACAGTACATATATTCATATATTCCTTCTCTCTTCAGGGTATATATTACTCTATTATATACTATGTACATTAAATAAGTACTATATACATCAACTATTCTTAGTATCTTTGTCTATATTAGCTAGTTATATAGACTATACTATATATATAAGTACTACCTCATTGGAAAGCCATGCGATTCCTTCTTGATTATTTCCAGTACAATTTTTTTTCTGTGGCATGTGTCAAGAGCAGGCTGGTTATTAAGTCGTTGAATTTTCTTTATCCTGGACCTAGTATTTTGGTTCTTCGGAGTGGTCCACGGGTTTCTCTTCCCACCAAGGCCTCCTGGTAATTAGGATAGGGCCTCACCTTTACTGTTCAGTACTTGTTAATTTCAGAGGCACTCTATCGGTCGGTTGGATCTGCTCTTCTTATTGCTATAAGCAAAGTTATCAACTTAGAATAGTTCTAGCTTTTTGACTTCGGAGATTGGTTCAGTCACAATCCTTATATAGACCATCTACATGATCTACAAGTTCCCTCCCTGTTGATCTGTAGCTATATTTGGAAACATTAGTTATATACGGTTATGCCAACGGATAAATGTTTATGCCCCTGCAGGATTTGAACTTGTATCTTATGATCTAACCTATGGAGTACTAACCACTGCACTATCGACCCATAAGTCGTCTGCTATCAATTTTGTTACTTGATTAGGATTTAATTTTTTGTATAAAAGATATCAATCCATCGATTGTTAGCCTTAATTTTTGGAACCTGTTTATATATCTTTAGCATTATACTGGATTGAATCTTATTTGACTGTATATGGGCATGTCTTGATTTTTGTTATAAGTGATCAGATCCTTCTTCTTCTATATTAAGACAATTGGTTCTTGTATTATGGGACCTTTATATCACTTATCTTGATCATATTCGTAAAATTTTATATTGTATCTTATCTTGTTATAACTACGATAGGTGAGTGAGATCCTTCTTTACTTCTTATTAGGATATCTAAAGCTGATTGTATGTGAAGGACTCTTGTCACTTATGCTAGCCTTATATAGAACCTTGTATTAATTTGTTATTTTTACTATAGGTGTGATGAATGAACAGATTCTCCTTATAGCTTTATTGGGATGCTTGATTATTATCATGGAAAAGATGAGATTCTTGTACCACATTATAGTTTAATTTTTACTTGATTCTCATGTAATATTGAACTTTGGACCTTGTGATTGTGACCTGGGAGCATTACCACTGTGTTATGGACCTATTGATCTAAATTAAACAAATTTTTAAAGAAACAATTATAATATTATAATATATACAATAAATAATATAAATTACTAATCTCTATTTTTCATTAAGTTTTTTAGATAATAAAAAATTTTACTAAATAAAAGTTAAAATTTTCAAGTTTTTATTTTTATTAGACAAAGTTTTTAAAAAAACTTTTTTATTTCAATTAAACAATAATATTAAATTAATATAATATCTATATATTAAAAAATAATTTTTCAAATATTTTCTTAAAATTTTATTATTTTAAAATAATTTAATTTTTTAAATTTTATAAAATTAAAGAATATTTCAATCAAAAAATATTTTTAAGAAGAAGTTAAATAAATTTAAAATTATTTAAAGAAACTTTGGATTTTTTTTATTTTATTTTTATTTTAACAATTTGTTATTAATTTATTATTTTTTAATAATAATATATTATCAATAATAATTTTAATAGTTAAATATTAAGTACTAAACTACTTAAAAAATATAATATTATTTCTTAAATTTAATTATAAGTATTTAGTTAAAACTTAATTTTGGTTAATATAAATTAGTATAGTTAACTTTTTATTTTATTTTATTTTATGTTTAAATCATAACTGATATTAGATGCAAAACTTTATTTGGCAATTTGATTTCACTATCATTATATCAAACATCTCTATAAATTATATATTTTTATATATATATAGATTAATACTAACCTATTACAACTATCCTAACTAGATCTACTAATATTCTAAGAATAGGTATATTTAAATAGTGACTGAATAATTAATATATAGTTATAAATAGGAATATTAATCTAGTTAGTATAGGACCAAATTGATTTTTATTAATTTACTAAACTAGTTCTTTCTTGTATATACCTAACAGGATATGAACACCCTTTAATATTCTCAGATATTATTTATTCAGACTTTGAAAGAGAGTATATTATCTTCTTTGTAATTACCTGTAGTATCAGATTAATTCTTATTAACAGATGTTCAATTAAGTAAAGCATCAAATTAGAATATTCCAAACTAGTAGAGTAGAGGTCCTGAAGATTGCCAGGTCAGAGTGGTTCCAAAGCATTTATAAGGGATTATAACTTTTATTAAAAATAATTAGTTATATTGATAATAAAATATAAATAAGTTTTTATTAATTATAATATATGTTTTGATAATATTATTAATAAAAAAATAGTTAATTAATATTTCAGTTTTACTTCTATTTTTCAATTATACTAGTTAAAAAAAAAGTATTTGATATATTGCCACTTATGTAACATTAGCAAAAAATAAATAATTTAGTAAAAAAATAATATAAATAAATTAACAACTATATAATTCAACTATAAATATTATAAAATTAATATATTTATAATTTATTTACAATTTATCTAAAAATATATTAATAATTTATCAAATAATTCAATAAATATTTAGCAAAAATTATAAAAATTCAATAAAAGTTCATTATAAAATTATTTATTAGCAATTTAATAAAAATTCAATATTAATTTATTTAATAATTTGTTGAAAATTTATTAATAGTTTATTAATAATTTATTAATTATTCATCAAAACTATTTATTAAAATTTATTAAGTATTTATTAATAATTCAATAACTATTTATTAAAAATTTATCAATTATTCATTAAAACTATTTATTAGAAATTATCAACTATTTATCAAAAATAAAGTAAAAAAAAATTAATAAACTTAGATATAATTTTTTTGAATTAAAGTTATATTTATTTATTTATTTATTTTTTTAATTCACAATTATGCCACTTTGATATGTCTTTATTGAGATATTGAGAGATATCAAAATATTTTACAGATTTTTTCACAAAGCAACTAACTCATTATTGTATATTATTAATTAAAAAATTATACTATCTAAAAAATATGAGAAGTTTACTAAACTAGTTTGAACTAAACAAGATTAAGTTTAAGCTATGTACTTTAAGTCATATTTAGAAAACAATATTATGTTCTTCTAGTAGCTTAACATAGTACCTTTAAGTTAACCAAGGTCATTGTCAACAGTTTGTTATTGTCGATTATTCTGAAAAATGATAAATTACTAAAGTTGATACTAGGAAAAAAGGAAAAGGCAAAAAATAATTTAAAACCTTTCAAAAGATTCTTGCTCTATTTCAATGTTTTCTCTCAAAAGGGATTTGTCTGATTGGAATATTCTCTAAGTTTTATAATGTTTGAAAAACTTATCCATTCTTGAAAATAATTTCAAAAAGAATATTTGAGGAACTTATTTTTTTTTACTGATGTATGAATTTGCTTATCACTACTGGAGCCAGTATCATATTATGAAAGAGTATATCTGATTGGGATAAAAAAATTTTTTTAAGAACTTTACCTGACCAAAATAAAAGCTTGGAGACCTTAGCTTTTATTCAAGAAAGCTTTTTTACCACTTGAGAAACTTAATGAAAGATGGGAGTTGGATCCTCATTTTCTACCCATTACTTGTCTTTTGATATCATAATTGTTTTCTAAAGATTGAATATATATAATTGAAGATAAAAATGGATCCCTAAAGGAGAAGACAGGGACAAAGGTCAAATGTTTCTCACAAGGAAAATTTAAAATTTTTAAATTAATAACTATAAAAAAACTATCCACAATTGTTCTCTATTATCCAAATCATTGATTTATGGCATTTTCCGACTTTTGTTTCTATTAAAGTAAAGAGCTATGAATTTTGTTTCTCAAAAAGAAATATAAGTGAACTGGAAATTTTATATGCTAAATATTTTAGGGACCCATCATTAATTGGAGGAAATACTTTTTTTAGAACTTTCTTTTCTACATTATCAATAATATGTTAAGACACATGAGTATAACCAATAGAGCTTGTTTACATTCAAAAAACTAATATGTTTTATGTCAACCAATCACCTTTGATAAGGATTTGTGCTACATAAAATTAGGGTTAAACTGAGGTAGTCAAAATTCCTTAGAAAATCATAAACATGGGAGCTCTAAGAGGACCAAGACTGTCAAAAAGGGAGAAAGTAAGCCTTTTTACTGCAGAAAACCTCTATAAGCCTCACACTTCAAAGGTTAAAAAGATTTTCAAGTACTTCACAGTCAGTTCTTCTTTCTTTGGAAACATTCTTACTGTTGATATTAAAGGTATTATTTGTTTTTTTTTAATACTAGAAATAAAGTTTGAGAGTGAAAAGGTTTGTAAATAATAGAGAAGAAGTAAATGTAATTTTTGAAGTTATATTTCAAGTTGTTTTAACAAAAGTATTAAGACTTTATTAGCAAGGAAGTATAAAAACTTTTTGTAAACATCTTTTTTATATGTGATTAAAGGATTAATAAAAAAAGTTATAATTGTTAAATGATATAAGTTTAATTAGTATTAGATTAATTTACAGTATATCTTTGGTTTTATGATATTAATAAAATTCAAGTAACAAGTTTTTAAATAATAATAAAAATGATATTTATTTTGTTTGAGATCTTTTTATTTATATTATTTTGATTAAGTTAAGTTTTGATAATAGTTTTATCTTATCTTAATTAAATTTTAAAATAATAAGTTCTTTAGATTATAATATAAATATTTCTAATATACATAAGTTTAATAGACAATATGGTTATAAAATTAAATTCAAAATAGATAAGTTTTTTAAATAATTAAAAGAAGAAAGAATATTTAAAGATATTTTTTATTAAAAAGAAATTTTAAAAAATAGATCTGATATTTTTAAATATATATTTTTTTCTTTTTTTTTTTAATCAAATTCTTATATAATTCTTCCTATACTATATCAGAAGCTTAATAGAATATATGACAGTAATAATTTGCAAATAATAATACATAAATTAGATAAGTTTTTATTTAAAATCTATTACAGAACAAAATATTGTTCTTAAAATCAAACTTAAAGATATAATATATATAATGAATTAGTTAAACTTGAAATAATATTTAACTCTAATATATATTATGTCACTTTGAATGAATAGATACTTATATATTTTTTTGATTAATAAATAAATGGTCTAGCCTAGCTATAAATAACAAAAAAAAATTAATTTATTATTATACAGTATATTATTAATTTAAAAACTATAATATTTTAAAATTTAAAAAGTTTAATAAGCTAGTTTATATTAAATAAAGCAAAATTACAAGATATAAAAAAATAATAAAATAAAAAATCTAGAAGTAACAAAATCAAATGAACAAAGAATGTTTTTATTCAATAAAATTTATCAAAATTAAATTTATACAAAAGTCAGAAAAAAAAAATAGTTGAATTTTGACTCTTGTTAAAATTTGACAGTGAGTTAAAGAGTATCTATTTGAACTATTAATAAAACAATATATTACTTTTAAAGTTGCATTTAGAGTTTATAAAAATTAAGACAAGTGAATTAGTTAGAGAACTAACTTTAGTGATACATCTATGTATGGTTTACAAAAAAGTTTAATAAACCATATACTGTATGACTCTAACAAAGGATTTACAGTATATGAAATATATAACTTCTTTTATTCAATATAACTGAACTTTTTTAAATAATTTTTTTAAAAAAATTATATACAGTATACGGTTCTAACGATTTTTTTTTGTTTTGAAAATCGCTTAAAGAATTTCTGGCAAAATAATCCGATAAAACATATTTGGTATTTCTTTAATTTACAGTATATACAAAGTAGATGTCGTACAGTATGTCGAGTATTTACAGTATAATACTGTAATAGAATTTTCATGATACAGTATACGGTATTTACCGGATAATTAGATGGAACGAGAAATTTTATTTTCCCTTTACATGCTTGTGGCGTGTAATAGACTACTGTGTAATAATGCTAGGGTATGCGATGACTAATTGGCTTCATGTCATTAAAAACAATTTCTGATCATTTTGATAAATTAACATCATTCCTATGAACGAAGAAAAAAAAAAAAAAAGGGTTGAAACAAGCAATCCCAATTCACTTTCACAGTGATCCCGGCTGAAGAACGTCTCGCATGATATGCTTTCAGCTACTTTCGTAAATGCTGTTAACACTTTTGAGATCCAATTTGGCTTGCTTAGAATCGCAAGTCAATTCTTGAAACTTGATTTTGACTAATTCGTTTAACGAGTGTAAACAATTTCATATAAAAAGTGCTTGAGGTATACACCCATTTCATTAAAAAAAAAAAAAAAAAAAAAACGGGTAATTCTTCACGCAAACAAAAGTTCCACTACTTTGACCAAAATGAACCGATCATTACACATTTACGCTCTCGCGTTTCTCCTCTTCGCCATAATCACACGATACACGACGACCTCTCTCCCCCAATCCCCGAGACTCGTTATTAGTGAAATTTCCGCCGAGCATTCATCATCCAAAGTTCATCGCAAACGCTGTCTGTTTCCAAGGGTGACGGCGTTTGGTTGTTTTCCACCGTGCATCTTGTTTTGCACACCTTTTCAGCCATTCAGGACACCATTTACTCCCATTACACCATTTCAACCCGTACAACCAATGCACATCCCCCCTTTATAAATCTTACAAATCGCTTTTCCATCTATTTTGTATGCGCATGCACGTGAACAATATTTTTTGTCACTAAAAATTCGTAAACTACTTTTTTTGTACTTTTTCGATCGGCAAATGAAGCAATGAATGAAATGATTACTAATCAGGAGATGGAACTCATAAATAACGATACACAAGTGTCGCACACTAACGCTAAGAGCTCGAAATTTAATTTCACTTATGTCGAATTCTATCTTTTGTCAATATCCTCCACAAACTTCGACGCCATTTCTTGAAAATCTTCGAGAATTAGCAATTGACTGGTCACTTGCCCATGGCCTGATTATACGCCCTCCCACCGAAATTGCGCTCCCCAATAATTCTTCGGTGATCCATGCTCCGATATCTTTGTTTCCTTCGCCTTTTCCAAGTAAAGAATTTGAATTGGCTCTCGAATTGCAGCCTGTGTTCAATACCCTATTTTATAAACTGTCGCAGAGTCATGAATTTATAAAAGAGGTTATTGAAGAGTAAATGGATTTCACTTATTGTTTCTCTTTGTGATGCACGTTTATTTATTTATTTATTTATTAATTAATCGTCTGAAATAAATAAAAAAAAATACGCGAATCAAGAGTTGCAAAAGTTGATGACTTCATTGAGAATTTATACGGTATCTACGTCAGCGTGAAAGAAGAAGGTTTTTCTCAGGCATGGCACATAAGCGTGCGTGTATCGTCATTTGCGTCCTGACTTTGCAATCGATTAAGTAAAAATGTATTCCCATATTAGTCGATATCATTAGGGTTGCATAGATCGGATTATCTTTTGCACGTTTCACCTAACGCCGACGAAGCTCATATCAAACAAGTGGAGTTCAACACAATTGCATCTTCTTTCTCAAGTTTAACATTTTTGACAGGGGATTTACACAAGTCAGTTCGGTTGATAGATCACGAGCTTTATGAAATAATGAATTTACATCAATGATTTCGTGAATTTTACAGGTATCTTTCCAAATCAACCAATTATTTACAATCTCTCGATGTTAAAGCCCTCCCATCAAACGAATCGATGACCAGTCTGCCGAGGGGAATCGCAAAAGCTCACCAGCTTTATGGGTCAAAGAGGTGTTTCTGAATCGACTTCACTCTACCCGGTTACTACGCCAAGTAATGCTAATTTGTTTTGATCGATACAGCGCTATGGTTTTGATGGTGGTTCAGTCCGGAGAACGTAATGCGTTTGATCAACGATGGATAGAATACACCTTGTTAAATGAGTAAATGTTGATTTTCAATTGTCTCTATCTTCCTTTTTTATTCGTCTAAAGCTAACCCGTGATGCACTCTTTGTCAAGTCACGAAGTACACCTCATTCGCAGAACTCTCTTGGATATCTATCATGAGGGAAAATTGGATCCGAAAACCAAAGCATTGACAATGTATGAGATCCTCTTAACCCAATATAATCCCCGAAACATCATCAATTCACACAAAGATGTTTCGAAAAGTTACTTTGTCTAATATATGCGTCCCCTCCCCCCTTTTTTTTTTAAGTGATGGAAGAGAGATTTCGGTCACATACTTCCGTTCAGGATATGGCCCCGGAGATCATCCATCCGAAAAGGCATATGATTCCACATTACGCATGTCCCATAACTAACAGTCCCACCCTTGTTCTGACTAAAATTTTTTTCATCATTAGGAGTGGAAAGCTAGAATGCTGATCGAGCGGTCTAAATCGATCAAATGCCCGACCATCGCGTACCAACTTGTTGGCTGCAAAAAGGTGCAACAAGTATTGACCGTTCCCGGCGTTCTAGAAAGGTGATGATCGCGCGCGTTTTATTTCACCGGTTTTTCGCTAATCTAGAGGTAATATCGCATAGGTACATCGCCAATCCACAAGAGGTCGAAAAGTTACGCTCGTGTTTTACCGGATTGTACTCTCTGGATTCGTCTCCTGAAGGAGAAAAGACTGTAAAGGCTGCTTTGGAAAATCCGGAGCGCTATGTGATGAAGCCTCAGCGTGAAGGCGGAGGTAATTGGTCTCCCTCGACTTATCAGAAATTTCCATGCGTTAATGATATACATCATCATTTTCATAGGAAATAATGTATACGCGCAAGATATCCCACCGATTCTATCAAAATTAACTCCATCCGAACGTTCCTCTTACATTTTAATGGATTTGATACAACCTCCACCAATGAGGAACATCTTACTGAAACAAGGTGAAGTAATCGAAGATGACGTGGTGTCGGAATTGGGGGTTTACGGGATAATCATCGGGAAGGGGGAGGAGGAGATTGTCAACGAAGTGGGAGGACATTTGTTGAGAACCAAGGGAAGAGAGACTAACGAAGGTGGAATCGCCAAGGGATTTGCGGTTCTCGACTCACCTCTGCTGTTTTAAGAGAAGTTCGCTTAATTTACCAAGAGATAATTGTAATGCTGTCATCAACTTCACCTTAGACTTTGCATTTCATTTATTCCTTTTGTACGTTCAATCCTTGGTTCCTCGATAATATAAATGATTATTCGGATAAATGCATTATCAGGATTGAAACGAATAAATAATTAATTCATAAAGTCGTTCGATCATAGCGTACCAAATTATTGATGTATGTACAAGGGAAGCGAGGAAATTGCAAGCAATTCGTTCTAAGACGAATACTTCTTATTCCCATCTATATCGCAAAGCTTCAATTCTATCATCGGATTCATCGGTCGAACAATTAAATTTTGTTCTCTTGACGATTCCGTGCAGTGACTCGATCCCGATTTCTGCAGTTCCTTCATCTTGACGTGAGCGTTCCATGTCGTTGTGCGAATGAGTGGCATGATCACCACCACTTCGTGCGCCTTTAGAGGAAGATTCACCCTCGATCCCCAAGCTGCCGTCGTCACCGTTGTGATCATCACCATTGCTGCTCTCGGTGCTGCCGGTGGCGGTGCTGACCTCAGGATGACTCTCTTCTTCTGAAATTATCAGACTCTCGAGGGTGTAATACAATCGATTCCAAATGAGAACGATGTGTTGGTCACGTATCTTCCTACAATACCTAATATCTAAAACTTTTAAAGGTGCACAGCTGTTATCCAAGAATTTTCTCAATGCTTTGACGCTAAATCTCCATGGTGCCATGATTTCCAGATGAACTAAGCTTGGCGGTAAACTCTTTCCCAGTTGCGGCAATAGATCATTCGCTATAACTTCCGTTTCTCCCCAACTGCACAATACTAATTTCCGCAACCTTGGGAGGGAATAGAACGGGCATGAAAGGAGAGAGATAAAGTGTGAATGATCAAATTTAATCCTTAATTCTACTAGTTCCGGATGATTATATTCCTGAATGGCCGAAATGACCGCTGCCGTTATTTGCGATGTCATAACCATCGAAAGATGTTTTAACGTTCTGTTCCCGTGACTGACCAAAGTATTCGATAGGTCGACTAGAGCATCGCTGTCAACTCGGTATCCGTTCATAACCAATTTTTCAAGTCGGTGAAATGAACTGTATCTAAAGGGTTCCATCACAAGTTCGTGTTGCCGACAATCGTTAAACACCAAAGTCACTAGATTTGGCAAATTTGCTACGGACTCCAATGGATGCCAAAATGTGAAATCGACTTGGTGGAATTCGACAATTGTAATCGTCTTCATCTGACTGTTCAGCGAAAGCTCGACATCCTTTAATCTCGATGAGGGGCTCCACCAAAATCTTCCGGGATACTCTACGAATATAAATTCTCGTAGGTGCTTTTGTGCATCGATTAGCATGTTCAAACTTTCCATCTCTCGTTGCGCTCTCACGGTGTTCAGCTCGTCACTCATGCTCATTCTGACGATCAGTGTCTCTATCCTTTGGCATGCGGTTGCAGCATTGATAAACGTCTGTTCAAGATGTTCACACATTGCAAAACACCCAAGTGTCTGGATGCTTGAAAAGCTATTTACTGAATCGGGTAGAGGCGGTATCTCCAAAATAATGTCATCACTTTCGTCCTCTTCGATTATAACCACATCTTGCGAACCTGTATCCGAGGTCTCATCGATCAATTCTTCTCCGTTGTCCCAAAATAAGTAATCAAACTTTGCTCCCCTGGAAATAAATAGATCAAGTAGGCATTCGGCGATGGTTCTCATTGGATCTTGTCTAAATGGTTTTGCTGTTCGCAAGGTTCTTGGATCACCGCACCATACCATGGCGAAATCATACAGATCCCGATAGTTGAGTCTTTTTAGAAACGAAGGGTAGTCAAAGAGCTTTCTCCGGCTGGGATCCGAAAATTGGATGTGATGTTCTAATAAGATTTCTCGATCCACCTGCGTGACATCATCTATGCCGACGAAAGACCAATAGGTTTCTATTAGCGCCGCGGAAGGGTTGTGGCGTTTGTATCGGAAAGGTTGCCTCCATAAAATTGGGATGACAATTTTGCACCAAGTTCTGGAGGTGAAGAGACAAGAGTGTAAGGTCACTATGTCGTCCTCCAGAAATTCTAATATTCCTTCGACGCAGTCCGCTGGAATGTGAGGCGATGTCATCTCAGGATGAAAGGGTTGCTTTGCGATTGGGGGATTTTTTTATGTGTATCATGCAATGCAAAATTGGATCATTTGGTTGAACAAATCGATCTGGTGAGACCAAATCACGACATTATCAATGTTGACGGATGAGTGACTCGCAATGATTTTTCATATGACCTGAAGACCGAAAAAAAAAAAAACTTTCTTTCTCACGTTCTCCACAACTTTCTTCCTAAAAAAAGAAAAAAAAAAGAAAAAATCGGCCAAACGTGCATTGATAATTAAATAACAATTTAACGTTTCAACGTTCGACTCTTTATTATTTTTCCTGCGAAAAATTGATCCAAGATGTCCTGTGATCCAAGGGAGGTTAAAGAACTATCGGCTGAAGGCAACGAATCCGTATCCAAAGCAGAAGAAGCTTCCGACGTTCATCCAGGAGAAACGAGTGCAAGGTCATCCGAGGTTGAAGTGTGTATTCTCGAAACGTTGGATTCCCTTGTGGAGGATTATGACGAAGAGGAAGATAAAGATTATCAGTTGGACAGCGAAGAGAGTGAAGACGAGGGCGAATCTTCCGAAGATGAAGATTCTTATGATGACGTTGATCCCGAAGAATTAAATGAGGTCGCGAAATCTGCTGTCGATCGACTGGATCCGGTCGAAAAGTCGAAGTTGTTTGTTCCGGGGGTCACGGTCCTTCGCGACGGAAAAAGTTTTGCGTCTTTACGAAACAACGATGCGGTTGAAGAACTCGCCGAAAAATTCAAGCTCATTTTTTCTTAATCACTTTACTTATCCCATAATCTCGTTGCATGTCAGGCATAACGTTGTTTAATTCACAGTGAAGACTTGATCTTTAAATAAAGAGTAGAATCTTTTACATTTATTTCTATAAAGTTTTAATCCTTATTACAGATGAATGCCGTATGTGATCATTTATTTTAAAAAAAATAATCACAATTTATACACTAAAAAAAATAAATTTACAGTAATGATTCTTTTGTAAACGAAAAAATTACCATAATCAATTTCTGATGCAGATGATCAATTTATCAACTTTTTACTCCCAAGATTATGCTGTCGCCGTTGAACACCAAAAAGATTCGCTCTTTAAACTCTCGTGCCAACATCATCCGCCTTCTTTATCACAGTACCTTCAAGTACTCTAGTAAGTCCTTGATTCCATTACCGACATATAATGCCCATCTCGTATACAAATTTAAGACATTATAATTCAATACGATAAATAGCATCATCCTATAACCCAAAAGGTCAACCCTTCATTATATACATTCATTGGCCGTATTGTCTAAGGTAGGTATGATTGTAAAATGCAAACAGAACATCAACTTCTCATCCACAGAATTCACATTCCCACAGCAAATGCACATATTGTAATTTCAATAAATACGTAAATCCAAAGCCCAATCACACGAGAATGAAGAATTCACTGGTATCGGAAATTAGGCATTCCGTAGATGAGTACGGACTGAAGGGGAGAAAAGTTGATAGCGTTTATTTTGGGGGTACGACTTTCTATGAGGCCTGTTAAGACGCGTTAGGTAGATTGGTAATTTTTCTTTCTTTCGACACTTCGGTTTAGGAGGTACACCGAGTGAGTAAAGTTTAGATCGTCGTTTTTCGCCAACAATGTCAACTTTAATCAATCATGCGAATTTAGGTTTGGCTCTGGTAAGGGGAGTTTTCAAGTATGTACGTTATTTCGCGTTTGCCATGTGACATTTATTTATTTGCCATCACGTCAGCCTTCTACGTTCGATGCAATCCTCCGAACCATTTCTCAATATTGCTACTTGCCCATAGATGCAGAGATCACAATGGAGGTAAGGTTTGCAATTACCTTCCATAATAATTTGCGCGTATACAATTCCATCGCCTTTATGTTTCAAACAAAATAGGGGAACCCAACAGTAAGCAAATTGTCATACCAACTCGGCGTGCAACTGAACATTAGAATCTTCATAAATCATTTATCAAAAAGTTTAGTCCACAGAATCCAAGAAGCTCGTCGAATTTCGTTCGATAGGTATTAATCGGCTTTCACTCGGTTTACAATCGCTATACCCCAAGGATTTAAAGCTATTGGGTCGAGATCATTCCGTCGAGGAAGGTGTTAAATCATTGGAAATGGCAAAACTGGTATTTGATGAAGACGTCACCTTTGATTTGATTTATGGGAGGATGGGCCAAGAGGTCGAACACTGGAAAGAAGAACTGAAGGAAAGATGATACATCATTTCTTTGGAGATTATGCTATATAGTCATTTGTAATCAACATTTAATGATCAGTTTACGATTATTCACGAAAATTCTAGATGGCCTTAAAACTGGCTTCAAATCATGTATCCTTATACGAGCTCACCATAAAATCGGGGACCCCGTAAGAAACACCTCGTTCACAACCCTTTCCAGTAATAGCATAACAGCAAAAATTAATATTCATTGTGCATATAGAATATATAGAGATTATAAATTGGGTAGGTATACGACACCAACCACCGACACCATGGCCGGCATGTACGAAGCCACTGTACAGGTGAGATGGGTCGTTTGTAATTACCCCTCTTCAATACTTGCATGTTCTATTTACGATGTCGTTAATGACCATCACCTTGATCTTGAAAGGTTGCGAAAGACTTTGGATTTAACCAATACGAAGTATCAAGCTTTGAAAGAAAAGAAAAATTTAGCAAACATAACTTTGGGTATTGGCGCGGGTCCGATTATCTTGGTATGATTACTTCAAGATATCGACATGTTAGTCTCTCCTATTTCTTACATCAGTCGTTTAAAAAAACCAGGCATCGGTCCAGGAGCTCATGGAAGAATTTATAATCCATCAACCGCAACCAGAACAAGAACCTACAATGTTTGTAAAGATAGAGACCATCAAGTTTTGAACTTTACTTCGCACAATTCATGTCATACATTCCATTAATGTCACATATACTGTATGTATGCCTTGCAGATATTATATCCTGAAGAGTGGATGGCGCAATGCGAAGAGCTTGGTCATGGGTAAATATATACAGTAAATATGGTAAGAAATAGAAATGTTTATGCACAATCTTTATTTCGATTGCTTCTTC